CATAGCACTTGCCGCCTCATACACAACCACCTTCTCTCCATCTTCGAACTTCCTCTTCTTGGTCACCAAATCCTTAAAGAACTTACCATATGATGGCATATTCTTTATCACATCCAGGAGCGGTAAGTTGACATTTACCTTGGAGAGCATGCTGAAAAGATCTCGGAACTGTTTCTCTTACTTCTCGTTCCTAAGTCGATCCGGAAAGGAAATGCGCGGCTTGTACGGATTCGGCGACTTATGCAGCACCGGCTCGTCTGTCGCCTCTCCGGACTCTGATTCCTTGATCTTTTCTGGATGATTCTCCTGATCCTCGGGCTCGGGCATCCGCACCTTGTTGTCCACCTCCTTCCCGCTTCTGAGAACTGTGATAGCTTTCGCTTGCTCGGGCTGACTAGGTAACTTGTCCTTGTTCATCTCAGTCTCAATTGTACCGACCCGAGCGGCCAGTTGGCCCAACTGTGTCTCAATGCGCTTGATGGAGGCATCCAGATTGACATCTCGCTGCTCTCTGTTCACCATGAGCTGTAGGATCTTGGCAACGTGGTCTTGGAGGTTCGAGCTTGACCCCCCTTCCGGTCCCCTCTGCTGCTGCTGTGGCTGCTGTGGCTGAAAGTTCGGCCGGGGCACAAAGTTGGGTCGAGGTTGTTGCTGCATAAAGTTCGGACGAGGTGGCTGAAGGGTATTTGAGTTGTTTGACCACGAGAAGTGGGGATGGTTCCGCCATCCGGAGTTGAACGTGTTCGAATATGGGTCATTGCCTGGCCGGTTCTGGTATCCTTGTAAAGCACTGGCATCCGTATACTGCTCACTGGGGTCCTGCTCGAAAGATGAGGGGCATACTTCGGACCTATGCCCTAAGACTCCACACGCCCCACATGTATCAACAGCAAATGTATTAACCGGCTGAGACCCTCGTGCGGTAAGCAATCTCATCTGTTCAGTAAGCTCAGCTAGCTGTTGGGCCACCATATCATTGCTTGTACTGACCTCGCTGACTACTGCCCTCTTGCCTCGAGTGCTCTTTTGCGACGAGTTCGTACTCATCGTCTCAAAGATCTCAAACATCTCCTCGGTTGTCCTTGCTCCGATATCATCTCCTGCCGCGTTGTCTACCATATACTGTAAGTTCTGGTGGAGGGAATCATAGAAGCTGTTCATGAGTAGCCCCGGAGAGAGGTTGTGATGGGGGCACTACCGTTGAAGATCCTTGAACCGCTCCCAAGCCTCATGAAGAGACTCATTCGGTAATTGAGAAAACGAGACGATCTGTGACTGGAGTTCCTGAGTCTTCTGATGGGAGTAATACCTCCCAATGAACTTTGAGTACACCTCGGTCCATGTAGTGAGAGAGCCAGGTGCAAGTGTCATGAACCAGGCCTTGGCCCGGTCTTTCAGAGTCTCGGGAAAGCACCTCAGCTTCAACTGCTCGTCATTAAGGCCATTGAGAGGGGAAGTGCTGAGGACATTGTAAAATTCCCGGATGAAGTTGAGTGGGTCCTCGCTTGGAAGCCCGTGGAATGCCGGCAGCTGGTTGTAGTGAATCATTTTGAGCTCGTAGTTTCGTGCAGCGTCCGGCAAATGAATGCATGGAGTGACTGGCCCGATATACGGCTGGGCCAAAGTTTGGAGGGTGTTACGGGGGGCTAGTTGTTGTCGTTCTCCCATATTGAGGTTGCTGCCTTTGGATGATTTTGGAGAATGTTCGTCTTCCCCGTGCGATTCTAAAGTAAGCTCTTCCAGCAGCTCCCCCAGGCTCTCGTTGACCGACTTGTTGATCGGAGATAGCAATTTGAGTCCACTCCTGGTACGCATACACAAGACAAGAAACCGTCACGAGCACCAGATAGACAAATAATTAACTAAAGGAAAACGATCAAACAAAAACAAAAACTACTAACACTAAAAACAAAGAGAAACACGAAAAACAAATGAATAGGCGCACAATTAAAGTCCTAAACCTTCCCCGGCAACGGCGCCAGTTTGTTGTAAGTATTTTTACCAGAGCAGAATCGAAAGATTCGACGCCGGGTCGTATCTCAAGGAAGGTTAGCCGGGATAAACTGCACGACTATTCAAACACACGAAATAATAAACAAAATCTAAACACTCTAATTCAAATTGTTGGTTTTTAATAATCAACTATGAATTCTTGAATGAATAAATAAAAGCATACGAACTATCAGATCCAAACGAAATTCAAATGAGGTTGGGGAAGTTGAGGAATCGGAGATACTCGTGTTTGGTTCTCAACAATTATAATTTACTTATCCATTCGGTTGAGAGATCTAATAACTTACTCTCTTAGAGATTTATTCTCAATAACTGTCCGTAACAAGAAAACTATCACAACCGATTCATCATTTGAACAATCAACCATAGGCAATACTTTGACGAACAAGCCTATTCTAAACGAGCCACGTTCAACCAATTTCTCCCCTTTCGGTTCTACAAATTGATTAATTAGATTAGAATGGTGATCAAACATCTAACCCTAAATTTAGAATAACCCGAAT